CCTTGTTAACTGTATGTTAATTTTGATATATTGCTTAAACTTTATCGAAGGTTTTGGCCCATTACAATCTAAGCACTGTAAGATTTAGCTTGTATTCTAATTTGGAGAATGTAATGGTTTTACAAGATACACAGTCTATACTGAATAGCCACTAATTAAAGGTATCATACATTTATGAATAGATATTTAAATAAATGAGACATTTGTATTAAACATAACTTAAATTTACAAACATATTTTACATAAATGTGATGTAAGGAGGTGGAAGGATTAAAGTATACAGAATCATTATTGTAATAATACACGCTGTTTTACCAATACTGTAAATACAGTTCCATCTGTTATGCACTTCACAGCCATCTGTTGCATTAAGTAAAGGAAAACAAGTCCAGGATATACTCAATTAAAAGAATAGCTACTAAACAGAGGATGACAGTAGATGAAAGCAATAAGTGATCTGATTATAGTTTGGGATGTTATGGTAGATATCATGAAGGGAATGTGTGGACTGGTGACATAAACTGCCTTGTTTGTCATATAAGGGGCAAACAAGGCAGGAGGACATGTTTACCTTATTTTTTACAAGATATTACTTTTATTTGACACGCATTCTCTTGAAATAAAAACACAATGATTAGTTGATTTATTGCGACATAAAGTTGCCGAATGCAACTCTATGAGCTGTAATCAAAGAACAAAATAACGTAGCCATTCTTATGTTTTAACCATAGACTAGATATAAAGGTTTTTACAGATACTGTAATATAAAATCATAACATCTGTTATATTTTGCCCTTTTGATTAAAAAAGTAAATGTCAACTCTATGATGCCTACTGTATGCACACCGTTACAGATGTTGCGTGCAAGAGGATTTACACACATGAATAAACCTTTTACAGTCCATTCTCATACTGAAATTAAACCTACTTTATAATCTGAGTGCTGCCTGTTAAAATGTACAGTATGAAGCATGAGCTCAGTAACAGCTTGTTGCATTGTTGTTGCATTGTGCTTTCAGAAAACTGGACATTGTCAGACAGTCACCGGGTGGGAAAGAGAGGCACAAATAATGCAGAATAAAAAACGTCACTTTCAGGAACCGCAGTTTGTGATTGAAATCAGTGACCTTTGACAGCAGAACCTGATATACAGTGAGACATTTCAGGTTTGAGACATAATGTGTCTAGACAGCCAAGTTTTAAAATGTGTGTGTTATTTTAAGGCAGTGAATTCAGAATATGCATAACTTTCTCAGGATAGTCACTTGTCATATTCAGTAGAAAAGATCACCTGTCAGGTTACTTCTGTGTGTTGGTGGTCAAGGCTGTGGCTTCAGGTTTAATTTTCATGGACCTGGCAGATGGCAGGCCAAAAGATTAACCCACTATGCTCTAATCTCTCCTCATCTTGTAATGCACAGAGCCTGTCTATGGCCACACAGACTCCATCTGACAAAAATGTAAAGCACAATTAGCACACACTGTTGCCACGAGTAAAATCGACTGGTGGATATGTAGCATTAATGTGCAATCTATGTGACTTCGCTAACACATTAACTTTTTTAACATCTGTCATTGTAAATGTGGCCTTTGTTTCAAATGTTAAAACCCTCAGATGTGGGCCAGTGTTTATATCCTACAATAAACACCTGCTACTGAAGCTTAAATGTGCAAGTGTCTTTGCAAGGATCACTGCAAAAGAATCATACGGATAAAAGGTCACTGCTCATCTGTAGTCCTGTTCTTAGTTTCTAATCCCGTGCCTTCAATCACAGCGGCAAATGCTGACCTCTTTGTTTCTGTTGGAGACTGAGCCATGAGGCTGCCCACAGGGAAATTTCAGGGAGATGCTCATCACTTCAGCTTGTGCATCATTTGATCTGGATTATTGTGGCCAATAGAATAGGCTAAACTGCTTCTAAATATAGGCTCAGTGTATCCTGAAATTTAAATATCAGTAAAGAACAGTCATTGAAACAAATGCCGATATCTCAAATCACGTTGTTCTCTTGACCGGATGAGCCTCTTCAGTTGTGGTACTATAAAATGAAAGTTACCCTCATAGGGTTTGGCATCCAAATCAAAACATCAGAATTTAAGGAACCGAGGAGCAGCAGAGGACCGAGTAAAAACCATATATTTCTGCCACTTTGTAGGAAAAGGATAAGTAATAGCAGTGTTACATTTTCTCTGGGACTACAGTATAACATATCAACAAAGTTCTGCTCCAACATCACAAGCTCAACCTCTCAGGTCAGCCGGCACCAGTCTGCTGTTCTTTCCTGTTACTAAATCCAAACCTGTTTTAGCTGTGCTGTAAACACTATGGTACACACTTATAGAAACACCTAGAATCCAAGCTAAAAATGTCAGTCTGCCAACGCTTTTTTATTACACACTGTGTGATACTGTATGCACAATGTTCTTCTTTAATCCCTTTTTTGTTGTTAATCTCTGTGAACATCGCAAAGCACCCTTCTTTACATTGCATGTTATTTAGCTGATGCTTTATCCGAAGTGACTTAATACACTTCAATACTGTGGACATGCCTAAAGGAGCAATTTGGCTTAAGTAACTTGCCCAAGGACACTTTGACATGTTGACTGCAGCGGGTGGCGATCGAACTGCCGACCGCTGACTGGAAGTTGCTTATTCCCCCCTGGGCCACATTCCCCACAAATACACAATATGAAATGTGTTGTAAATTAAGAGGCCTTGCCTTGTTTGAGAATAAGTGGATAGTTCAAGATAAAATTGTACATGATCTTTAAAAAATAAAACAGTAGACCATGATCTCAATGGGTCACCCCTTGTTAGTTTAAAAAAAATATATATAATGAAAAAGTCTCATAAACATTGACTAGTACATTATAGAAACTACAAATAAAATAAGTAGCCTCACAAGTTACAAATAATAAAAATATGGTCAGTTATGGCTGAAAACTGTCAATGTACTTCACTACAAATAACATGGAATTAATTTATGAGAAAATGCTTCTCTTAGTAGCATTTGGTAGGTTGTATGTTATAAAGTTATGAGGTTGAGGTTTAGAGCACGTTTTTGGCCATTCAACAAAAAGTAATGTTAAAAGGGAATGCTGCAAGTATAATTAGTTTGAACATGTGGACGACCAAATAACAGCTTATCATTGCCGCATATCAAGAACATTTTGGATTACAAGTATCCCAAATATTCCAAAAAAACGTTCACATCATATGAGAAGAAAAACTATATCAATGATGTTTTCTCCATTTCGTTTCCCTTTTCAAAGTTTGCAGTGCCAATGAAATGGTCCAAGACCGCATCCAAAATGAAAACAATTGTTTGCCAGGTCAAAAATAGAAAGGGAAACTTTGAATGATATGTGGCCCACAGTGCTTGTGTCACTACAGGATCACTCTGTATGTTATAGCACCTGTTGTCAAGATGCCCAATTCAGCTTTACCATTTTGGATTATTATTGATAATCTCTAGTGCTGTTTGCCAAGGTTGCAGAGGTTCGCTTTTAGTCCTGGTCCACTCAAGAACTAGGTCACTCCTTTAATCTCTCCATGTAGAGTATACTGTAGGTTAACAGCCTTTTCATTTCATAAACCTCAGTGAGTGCTAGCAGAGGGAACACAGAGTCATGAATCGTGCAAAATCCCAAAAGACATGACACACTATTTCTGCAGGATTCATCGGGGGTTTGAAATGACCACAACACCTGCAAAAGTTGTAAGATAATTTATGACCATATGAGTCCTGTTTTATAGGTCTTACTAAGATTTCAACAACACTTTCAGGCTCTATGAGGGGTTGTCGTTGTAGCAATATGCACAATTTGTAAAACAAAATAAATAAACTGTGTGCAACAGTTTGATAAATGTATGCAAATCGAGTCAAAAGCTATAAATATGATTATATAAAATAAAATTGATGTTAAATTGTAAAACCAAATCTAAAAAGTGGAGCTCATGAAAAAATGTATTCATAAGACTTTATTATGTGCATTAAATGTGTGTTGTTGATTAATTTAAAAGGATGCTGCCACACATCATGTTGGCCTCTTGTGCAGACAATCCCTCTCTGATACGCTGCTCCAGTCCTCTATATTCTTTTACACTGCTGCCCCCAAGTGTTCAAACACTGCTGGTGGACAAAATAAATGTGTATGAGTGCAGAAGTTAAATAATGTTAAGAAACGTATTTATTTAACTGGAACTATGGATGGAGTGTAGCATTTAGGCTGACAATACAATACAATGTGGTAAAACTCACAACACACTGTGCCACAATTGATAAGAATGTATTAGATAAGGAGAGTAAACCTCCCCCAGAAGCTGCTCGTCAACTTTCACAGCATGGTGCACTATTGAAAGCATCTTAACCGATTGCATGAGCGCAGTTGCCCTCTCTCGAACTACTGCACAACACTCGCTCTGTGCTCAAAAATATAATTAAGGCCTTACTTTCAAATTTGTGCAATTTTAAAAGGATTGTCTGTGTTAATGGCAGGCTTAAGGTAATTTCATACACAGAAGGCCAGACACCAGTCTGAACACAATGCTACGGTACGATGAATGTTGATTACATCAGTTATTTTATTAGATAACAATTCGGGGGCGAGTCAGAATCAAGGTAACTAGAAATAGAAAATATGTTCTTATTGTTGTTTGTAGTTTTATCATTATCTAAATGTTTAGGCTACAGATGAATGAGGAATGCATGGACATTGTATTATTTTATGACAATAATTCCATGATAAACAGGCTAGCCTATTGTCAGTTAAACTAAATGTGAGGATGCAAAATTCACAACATGTAATTACATGTGATTTAAATTACGTTAACAGTGTACAGAGTGTCATGGAATTTATATTCTGGCGGCACTTCCTGAAACACGGGGTCTATAATTGCAGGGTGTTTTGGGGGATCACGTGACCTCGCTAGCACAGGATGTCCCACGCAAAAAGAGCTGTGACGTGAAGCGTGGCTACAGTCAGCTCGCTCCAACAGTGGGCACCGGCACATGGACAAAGTTGGAGACAAAGTTTGGAGATATGTTACTTTCTACAAAAAAACAATTTAAGGCGAATCGCTGCTTATTTCTTTTCAGGTAGTCGGGGGAACCCTCAAAAACAATAGCAAAACACGTTTTTTTTTATTGATCGACATTACATCAAAAGTTAAATGAACAAACATCCTCGCTTGCGGTCCGTTACGCACTCCTTTATGTCGGTTTTTCTGCAAGACGTCCATGCCTCCGCGCTGCTTCTCATTCATTCGGCAGAGAAGAGCAGCCCGCGTCCGAGCATACAATGAAGCAGTGTGTCCTTGTCCGACACAATGCAGCAAGATGCTACGAAGCGGACGACACTCTTTCTCGCAAGACTCGGGACGTTTTCGCTCGATTGCAGAGAGAGAGATCAGCTTAAGGTTTGTATATGCTACGCGAACATCACCACATTTTGTCAAGAAATGACTCAAAGCGTAACAAAAAATATAACCCACCGAGCCACCAGCACACGGTAAAGCTTGTAAACATCCTGCTGCCATGCATGCCCGAACAACGCTCTACATACATGCTGGAAAATGATTACTATTCCCTGTGCTGCTAAACCATACATGTGTGATGTGTGTCCGTGTGTGATGCAGGTATAATGGAGATTCCAAATAGGGATACTGCCATGTAGTCCAAAATAATCAATATTTGTTCCTATTGAATATGTGAGTTGGTCATATAGGTTTTACATTTTTTCAGATTGTGATCATTTGAAAGACACTCGTTTCAGGGCATTATAGATAAATAATATGCAGAAGTATTCATTATCATTCTGGTTCAGTTGTGGGGGTGTTGGAAAGGCTCCTGAATTGGATGTCCCCTCCCCCCTAATGACTGCTATAGAATAAGCACACACACACACACACACACACACACACACACACACACACACACACACACACACACACACACACACACACACACACACACACACACACACACACACACACACACACACACACACACACACACACACACACATTTAGAGCAATTCTGAAGCTTATGTAGATGATCTTTGATATATGATCTTCATCATCCTTGAACCAAGTCTTTCCACTTGTTGTCTATCTGTCTTCACACACACATCTTGTGTGATCTTTTAGACTTTAGTTTGTATGTCTTTGGCACTACCCTTGTGTACTAATGGCGTAGCAGATTAGTGAAACAAAACATCCCCTCCAAACCCTTTTTGTTGTTTCGATTTAAGAAAACAAAGGTGTTTACTGTAGTGAGGTCATCAGGTGCACACTTTTGTCAAACTTTAAATGTTAAGAGCTATTAAGTTGAGGATAATATAAGATATACAGTACGATATCTGAAAGGAAAGAAATGTTTTTTTATTTCCAAATGGCATCCGAACTAAATATCAATCAATCACATTGAAATGTAAAACAGGCAGCACACTATATATTATAACGGTTTCAGTATTTGCCTGTGACAGTTAATTGTTTACACTAAAACCCCTGGATGAACAGCTTAGCATTCAGTGGGAATTTGGCTTTCAGCGTCTCCATGAGATTTTGCTTCAAGGCTTTGACGGCAGCCATTAATGTAATTTGTAGTGAGATGATAAACAGAGTGATGTGTGTTTCTGCTTGAGCAGATAGTCAGATTTGCCCAACGCTCCAGTGACTCTTGAATATGTAAAAGTGCTCAGCTCAAGTGCTTCAGCCTGACAGTTTGACGGCTATGGCGTATTAAGCTCAGATAATTGGGTGATATTTACTTACAGAGCACACAATCACTCCACAAAACTGTTTCTTTTTCCAGTAATGATATGCTTTGTAGAAATTATTCACTGTCCTGACGGGTCCAAATTATGTGTATCTGTGTGTGTGTGTGTGTGTTGACGGTAGGCATGCATAGTCTACATTTCTTTTTCAGCAACAAAAAATAATAATTAAGAAATCTGTTGTAAGTTATATCCAAGCAGTTCATTTGTTCCTAAGGGTTTCAGTGGAGCAACAAACCACATGCGGGCTGATATAGTGACATTATTGTGGGTTGTCTTCTTTACTGATTCCCCCTTAATATTTATGAGTGCAGGTCCAATGATAGCCTATAAGCGGGCACAGTAACACAATACACCCAAAGGATTGGAATGATACTACTACAGTTGATGATGACGTAAGATTTAGTTATGGTACTGTCAAGCTCTGACTTTCCTTAGATCTCTTTCCTTATAAACTTTTTTATCAGGAAATCATAAAAAATCATATCCCAGTCAACATGTTGAGGCTTGCGCTTGATGGTGACTTCCCAATGTGGACAAACTTCTGATTCACAAAAATGATACTGATGAATTTTCCTGGAAGATGGAGCAATTTATTATCACACCCACTTCTTGAAATTGCTTCATGTTAAAGATACAGCGGCTGTGTCCTCTGCCATGTGAAAGAGTTCCACTGTGTTTGCTGTCGGTGAAACCCGCACTGTTTACATTAACTCCCTCACTCTCAATCCATCTTCTTCCTTATCCCTGACCCCAGCCCCACCAAAAATAAACACTCTTTTGAGGTTTCTAAGAAATGAGGCGACCAAGTTTAAAATAGCTTTGCATTGTATAAACTGCTCAACATTTCTCAGGATTCGGATAAAAGCAAAGGATGGTTTTAAATAAACACACTAGCTGAATTTATGTTTGTCCCTCAGGGCTAAGATGGGATGTAATTGAGTTGTCTGTTTTGTATTTCTCTTATACTTTTTTAAGTCTAAAGCATAATCCAACATGATTGTTGTATGATTTCCTGAAAGTACATTGTTTTTGTCATATATATATATATATATATATATATATATATATATATATATATATATATATATATATATATATATATATATATATATATATATATATACCCATGATTATGATATATGTCATTATAAACATTACATTACATATTACTTGTTAGATGCTTTTATCCAAAGCAACTTACATACTCAATACTGTGGGCAATCCCCACAGGAGCAATTTGGGGTGAAGTGTCTTGCCCAGGGACACAACGACATGCTGACTGCAGTGGGGTTTGAACCTGTGACCCCCTGATCCGAACACCAACGCACTACCCACTGCACCACACGCCTCCCATAAACTAAGAATCACATCTATTTTGCAAACTCTGCCTTAACTAAAGTGCCTTTTTCTTTTTGCAGAATGAAGCTTTAGCCTCTGCATGACAAGCTATGAGCAACACACAGACTATACTCTAGACGTCCAATTACAAAGCCAGAACTCAAGAATGAAGACCAAATATGCAATTGTCTTCATCTGTATCGTGGCCCTGGTCATCATTGAAAAGGAAAGCAACATCCTGTCAAGGTAAGAGAAAAAAGAGTCATAATCTGTAATGTAAGAACTTTATCGGACACCTCTAGAGCTCACTGATTAACATGTTACAGCTTCCTTGTTTCTTTGTTTAGTACAAGACAACATGTTAAAATGACACGCTATACTGGTTGTTGTTCTAAACTGTCTCTGAGAGATGAGCAATATTTGTATTACTTCTGGACAAAGCCCGGCTAACAGCTCCCACCTGTTTACATTCTTTATGCTAAGCTAAGCTAACTGACGATGCACAGACATGATAGTGATCTTCACATATAACTCTCAAAAAGAAAGCAAACAAATGTGTTTCCCATAATATCAAACTATTCTTTTCACGTGTGCTTAGACCAATGTTGTGATTCTCCTGCTATGAGTCAAACATACGGTGGCTTCATGTATGTGTCAGCTAAATATAAGACATATCTTATGTGTTTATACTTATCAGGCCTTTCTGTCTCAACAGAGTCTCTGATAAACTGATCCAGAGGCAGGCCCCACAGCAGACCCCACAGCCTCCACTGGATTATAGCAACACAACACAAAATGGCTCCCTGATGATGCTGAAAATGCTGCTCTCTAAACTCATCGGTACAGTTGGGTACAACTCAAGTCTCTCTGAGGAGCAAGAAGAGGAAGAACTAGATGATTTAGGCACGTACAGCTTCAGCGGTGGCCGTAAGCACATATTACTCTTGGCTACAACACGGACAGGTTCCTCATTTGTTGGGGAACTTTTCAACCAACATGGGGAGGACATGTTCTACCTGTTTGAGCCTTTGTGGCACGTCGAGCGCATGCTGACCACGGCCTCAGAGTCAAACAACGGGACAGTGTTGTCAGGAATCTACCGGGATGTGCTCCAGGGGCTCTTCCTGTGCAATTTCTCTCTCCTTGAGAAGTACATCGCCCCCCCACCTAAGGACCACGTCACCCCGGCTCTTTTCCGCAGAGAGTCTAGTTTATCCCTCTGTGAAGAATCTGTCTGCAGTCCTGTAGTCAAATATGTTTTTGAAAGGTATTGTATATCCTCTTGATATTCACTGTTTTTGATCAAGCTTACGATATTGGTTGAATTTTGAAAAGGAACCAACATTGAACTGTAACACAGTTGCAAAGGGGGAGGGGCAGTATTTTATTTAACACTGTCGGCATTAGTTTAGTTTTAAGTTTAGATTTAGATACTGTAACATTATTATAGGTTATGTTATGTTACCCCTGACTTGAATTTATTTCTTTCCTTCAATTTGGTAAATGAATTTCTCTAAATACGACCTATGATCCCTGCATTTGGAACAAAACACAATAGTTGTTGAATTCACTGAATATTGACTTTGAATGTATTTAAGTTTGTACATAGTAGTTGCATGTACAATACTCTTGTAATGTTTTGCAAAACAATACACTTAAAGACATCATTTTAGTGAGTCCTTTTAGTGGTTGACCTCACCCCTTCACCTTTTTATGTCCACTGTCTTGTACCTTTGATCTTATTTTAAAGAATCATTGATCATGTTTTATACTTACAAATTCAGCCAACAGAGTTCCATGCCCATTCTTAATCATGCTTTACATGATGATAAGATAAGTGTTATCATACCATGTAAGTGTAAACCTAGTCACCTGAAAAACATCCTCTCTCTTTGCAACCATAGAACAAATATTTTATCATACAAATCTCTACCACTTCCTTATTTTTTTAGGTTTCACTGTAAGACTCGTCGCTGTGGGCCGCTGAACTTGACCCTTGCAACTGATTCCTGCCTTTCGAAGCAGCACCACGCCGTTAAGACTGTCCGTGTGCGCCAGCTGGACACGTTGCAGCCTTTAGTGGAGGATCGCCGTCTGGATGTTAGAATTATCCAGCTTGTCCGAGATCCACGGGCCATCTTGGCATCACGCATGGTGGCTTTCTCTTCGAAGTACCAGACGTGGAAGACCTGGGCGCAGGACGGCCAGGTGCCCGAAGATGACGAGGAGGTAAAGAGGCTCAAAGCAAACTGCGACCAGATTAGGATGTCAGCAGAGGTGGGACTGAGCCAACCTCGCTGGCTGAGGAGACGCTACATGTTGGTGCGCTATGAGGATATTGCCCGCTACCCCATGCAGAAGGCAGAGGAGATGTACAGGTTCACAGGGATACCATTCAGTCCCCAAGCTCGGGAGTGGATCCTGAGGAACACACAGACCATGCAGGAAGCTAGCGGGATTTATTCCACCCAGAAGAACTCATCAGAGCAGGCAGAGAAATGGAGATTCAGCATTCCCTTCACACTGGCTCAGGTAGTGCAGAGGGTGTGTGGACCCACAATGGAGCTGTTTGGGTACAGGTTTGTGGATGATGAAAAGACACTGATGAATAAGTCCATCAGTTTACTCGAAGAGAAGCTCTTTCTTTAATCCAGAGGTAAAAAATGAAGCTGAGAATCTGGAAAACATTTCATGCAATGGATCCAAACCAGGAAAAGACATTATTGCACGGACCAAAACTAGTATGCAAAGGTGCCAGGAGACACAACATGTTTTACTTGGGACAGTAAGCTATTGGCCATACAATAATATTCACTCTCACCAATGATGTGCCTCATTGATACAAATGAAGAGCCACTTAAGAAAGAGAAGTATTTATTTGTGTTCTGCGTTCACTGAGAGGCCTGGTATTTAAGCTTTACTTGGCGCTTTAAATGTAGTTTTAAATTTAAAAAAAGGCTTAGATGTCAAGCCTGACTTGAAAGGGATTATTATGTAATATTTCATTGATAGTTGATCATCTACGAAAGTGAAATGATGGTGATGTGTGTTAACTTTGTGTGTGTCTGAGAAAGAAGTTGTTTCTGTTCATAGTTCATGACGCTAGTGCTTACATTTGTCTAGTTCAATGTATATCAACTGATAGATCACTTTAGTTTAGACCTGGTGTGCTTTAATAGAGCTTTACATATCCGACTCAGGTGAAATGAATGTGGCATTGTGTGGTGTCTTCACAAGGAGTATTGATACATCTCCACAAAAAGTACTCTGTGTACAAGTATAGTATGATCTTAGATGTAATTAACCAAATGCCATTTAAAGCAATTCTCAATATATCATAATGAAGAAGCTAATCTAGATGGATATATAAAACTCATTAGGTGAGATCAAATTAGTAGATATATTAATATCTTACTTCAGATACCAACATGTGTCTTTAACATACGAGTGTAGTGTTTCCCAAAAGAAAGTATCCACAGCAGTAATGCATTTTCCAGTTCTGCCTCCTATCCTCTAAGGACACAGTTTAGGTATTATTTAACCGAAGCAGCTCCTGCACTGATATCCTATGTGTTCAAGGACACAGGGAATATTCTTGTGCAGAGAGATGTTTTAATTACTTTACAAGTCAGAGAAATAAAATCACCAGAATGAATAAAACCTGCAAAAGTCTAAAGGCTATTTAGTCGTGAGTTTAATGTGTGTTAACGGCTATGGTCACAACAAAAATATAAAATTGTAACTGTTATAAGGTGGCCTTTTACTTTAAGTGAAACCCAGGTGCTGCTGTGTGAACTGTCACTCTTAATGGTATATAAAGGTATCCACTGTGGCTCTATAGCTCAATGGTAGCATTGTGTTCTGCTTGGCTGAGGCACGGCTGAAACTGCTGTGCTGCTCATGGAAAGGGATATGCATTAGAGGTACATATAGAAGGGTGCTCATACTAACTTACTGTTTAAAACATAACTATGAATACATTACATACACATACGTACAGAGAGGCAGGCCTCAAGTTGAACAGAGTCACTACTGCAAGTTTTTTAATCAAAAGGGAATACTGTGAAATACCAAGTGCAGCTGAGATAATGGACGCAGTCAGTCTATTCAACTACTTCAGATACCAAGAGTGGCATTACAATTATGTGTGACTGTTTATGTTTTACAGTCCTTAAAACAATAAGTCCTTCCTTCATTTAGAACGTGTCTACTTGAATAAAGAATGTTCATGGTGAAGACAATTATTAGAACAGCAATAGCAGAGTAGTATAAAGTAGCAATTATGAGTCAAGTCTTAATTCTTGTCCAAGCAAGTCTTGATGCAAGTCTTGAGTATCTTAAAAGAAAAGTAACAGAAGGGAAAAATAAAATGCCATATTTGAAAATGTTTCTTCTAAAGCTCTTAATGGGGATTTCTGCAAAAAAGCTTGGCCTTACAAATACGTGTTCAAATGGTGTGGCTAAGCAACGCTTGATTTTACTAAGTCAAAACTGGAGTCAAGTCACAAGGCCTTATTTCTGTGACTTATAGCAGAGCAAGTCTTTGCCTCTGGAAGAAAAGCAGTGTCATAGGATGTCAAATTTGTGATTTTCTATAATAAATTTCTGTCTGTGTATTACATCTAAGTTACAGTCATATTGCTGATGCAGAAGAAAGCACAGATTATGTTTAAGCATGTAGAAATGTATCACACACATGTAAATGGCAGAGTTTCTTCTATTGAAAAAGTGATTAAAGTTATTTCTTGTTGTAAAATGGTTTGAAGCAATAGAGACATCATTATGTTCTTTCATGTGCAAGTGCTGCTTCTGTCAAAATAAGATGATTTCTCACTCCTTTCTTCAAGGATCCAAAATAATGTTGATGATCAATTAGATGTTGCTGTTGTGTCTAGAGGTGACACCCTGGAAAACAAACATGTTGTAAATGTTTATGGTCTCTTAGTCAGAGGTTAAAGAGCGAGGTGAGAGGACAATCCTGGTCTGGACGTGCATGCAGTTAGTGACCAATAGGCCTACAAAAAAGCAACACAGTGCTATCAATTGATTTTAAATACAAATAAAACAACATGATGCATCTACCGTTATAAGTATCCAGCGAGCACAAGACCTAAAGGAACCCACCTACATGGTCGATCCACCAGCTATGTTCACTGAGGAACTTAAACCTTTATTGAGGTGCAAAGCTAATATTTATTGTTGCTACATCCAGTGTCCATAGATCTTTGAATTTGTTGTCACTAATTTTTGTTTAATTATCGGAGTTTTGTCTATTTCTGGTCACGCTAAGGGAGCCGTTTTATAGACCTATTAATAACCAAATTATGTCTTTAGAAATGTACTTTTTGTTTGTTTAAACACAAGGGGTCAATGCTGCTGATGTTGTTCCATTAGTGTATACATTTATATTTAATGCAATTGATTCAGTATCCTGAAGATCTAGTGTCATATACTGTATAATTTCATCATTTTACGTGGATGAAACGAGCATTGATGTAGGTGGGTTTGTTGACTCACTTGAATTCTCCAAGTCTAGCTCCACATCCAAATGCATGCATGCGGTTGCCAGGGATCCCCGAAAGGCGGAGTGGGAATAACCGGAGAAAAAAAGGCAGAAACAGGCAGCCCATTCATGTCTGCATTCTTTCTGTCTGTTTAACGCCCAAACTGAGAGAAAGCACTTCAGAGTTCACAGCTGTTGGTCAAGCTGATTTTATCCTAGATTGTTTCCCTGATGCTGAATATTCCCATAGCAACATAGCAGATGTTGCCATCCGGAAAATGAAGAAAAGTCCTGGTGATAAGAGAGAGGAAACGTCTGGCCCAAGTCTCAAGTTTCCTGTTGTTTTTAACCGCAAGTGGTGCTGTGTAGAGCACGGAGTTTTATAAGTTTATAAGAAGCAACATTATGATTTTTTTAAAAGGCTATGTCAATGTTTTGCAACTTTTCGGAGAACATGTTTGTTTGGCTCTTAGGATACAAATATTTCTGTGGAAAAAAATGACCAAACCAAGTTTGTTTACAATGAATTAACACCCTGATCCATGACCGTCCAGTTGTAAATGTCACACTAAGTGGAAGTCGTTTGAAGGATTCTAAATGATGATGACCTATTCGCTCAGTTTCCATTGGTAAAACTTTTGTTGAACAAAAAGCTGAACTGGACATACCCAACTACATCCATGCATTTAATACATTTCAACAACAACAAATACAAAAGAGCAGCATTAAAATCAGATGAAACCTTAACTTGGTTTTTCATAACGTAGCCTAGTAACAACGTCCATGATGTAAATGTGAAGTTCACTAACATCCATTATGTCTTAGTTTTACTAATTTAAAGAAATGGGAGTGAAAGTTGTGATCACAGATTGAAGTTGGGCTCTACTTATATTTATTGACTAATACTTGATCACTTCAAACCAATATATATATATATATAGGCTATGCTTCAAACATCACATTTTGTCAAAATAAGTTAGTTATTGATTTCTTGCCAATGCTATAAATTGAATTTTAGCTAAATTGAAATGTCTACATCCAAAGGTTTTATTCTTTCTAATCTATTCCGTGTGTTTAAGCTATAATGTACATGTATTAATATTGGAGGCCCTCTTCTCTATGAATTATATTTGTATGATCATGTGGATCAATCTTGGTTCTTACTGATTTAACAAACCTGCATATTGTCCCCATGACATACATTTGAGCAATTTGACCATAAGACTTTCAAGAAAACGGCGTCAAGATTGTTCTTCGAACGACTTCTGCGTCTGCGCAGGCACGTGTCTATTTATGCGGAAGTGTTTCAAAAATAGTAAGGTTTCGGCGAAAATGCATGTGTTTGTGGAAGTTATAAGTATACGACTGTATATATTAGAATAGGAATATACTGCCCGATTCGTGTGAAAGTTGAAAATGGACGTTTGTATATAGTAGGCCTATTGCTGATGTTAAACAGCCCTCCTGAACTTCAATTGATCAACAATTAGCCATGCTTTGATACTTCATTAACCGTGATGGCATGCCAGGAAAAACCAAGTTGTCTTCACGAATTCAAAGCAACACTAGGTGAGTTATTGACACACAAATGATCATCTTATGGGAAGAGTGTTCTTCAAATACTATGTCTTCCACCAATTTTAGTTAAAACTATAATTGGAACGTAATAATCATGGTGTAGTCCACGCTGAAATCATGTTTTATTGAAAGAAGGTTGTATTTTTCCAGAATGCATTTATCTTGTTTGAAAACACACATCAATAATTTTGTGGCTACTAAACTACGTTTGTACTCTATGTAAAATCAACTGATGAATAAGTGGACAGTTCTGCTGCCCCTTATAGATATGACTACCTCACTTTAGTTTATAGTACAATTTGGCACTCTTTGCTTCAAGGGTGACACTGGTTTAGACCTGTCATGCCATAAAACTACTACACTAAATCACTAACAGATGCACGCAGTGTCTACACATACATTCAATGACTCCACTTGTGCTATATAAGGGAAGGGAAAGGAGGGGTTGAGGAAACAGGAAGCCCACTCCCCCTGATCGAGCTTTTTTGGCTCTCATCCATGTTCCTCCTCTCTTACATCCCCAGTCGTCTCACAGTAGGTGGTTTGGATAGGTAATTATTGTTTTGGAAACACATTTTTTTCTTTCCACCCAAAGTGGAATGTTTTTTGTGTATGCTTTGGGTGTGTCTGCTTTTGAAAGACCTTTTTTCTGGGATCATGACATCCACTTTCTATCTTAAGTTATCTAGTGCCCCACAATCCCTATGCTATTTCATTCCAGCTCTCCACCCCTCGAGCAAACACACACACACACCTATCTTTTCTTTAAGCACACTCCATCTCGTCTTACTGGCTGCCCCTTACTGGAAGGTAAATAAATCCTGTGGTCGGGGTGGAACACTGAGTGCCCTCATATGCCTCTGGAGTCACTCTGCCTGAAAGAGGCCTTGTGTTTGCCTCTGTAAGGGGGCTCCACTCAGCCACAAGCTGCCCATGCACAGATATGCTGCCTTTGCGAAAAAAGAATCCACTTAAGAAAAGCAATGTCTTAAACTAAGACCAGAAACCTATGCATGGGAATTTACTGTACTGCTGTAGTTAAAGATACCACTTGTGACATCTAAAGGGTTCACAATGTTCAACAAAAAGATGGGATGTTCATTTCCTGTCTGTCCTGCAGAGGGCAGTAAACACACATTATCATAAAGTCTCTGTTGTGTGTGTGTGTGCCTGTGTGAAATCATTTGAGTGTGGACAGTGTAGAAATACATTTATGTATGTTCTATGCATGTGAGCATATGCGCATTTGCATGTGTGTGGGGCCTCTCTCAGGTGATTGCTCATATGTGCAGCGGTAATTGTGGTGACGTTTTATCTTCCTCATTACAGGAAGTTTTCCTGCAGCTCGAGACAAAGCGGAAAATGACTCCTGCTTATGTCTGTTCTTCTCCAATTCATTGTTGTCCTCTCTGTTCTCCTTACCGCGTCTTTAGAGCTCAATAGGACGGAAGTGTGAAAGATGTCCACATCAAAGAGGGTGCAGGCCATCACTAATCCGCAAATAATGACAGCCAGGCAAGGCTCGACTTAACACACATGTCCCCTTACTTACTAATCTTGGACGGTATAGAGCAATCCCTCTTGAGGATTGTTGTACAACAAAACATCTGCAAGGCCGATAAAGACATGGTGAAATTATTGAGGCACTGTTGTGTGAAACAGAAAACACTGGTAAAAGACATCCTAATATTTAACATATTATGTTTTTTATAGCATAGAACATTGTAGAGCACACGTAGAAGGGAGAGAACATTACTAGATGAGTTTCCTTCAGTTCACAAGCATAATCTGCCCAGAGAGTGGTGGACACCCTCTAGTGGGGAAACACCAATATAAATAGCGGCCAAGAAATAAGATGGTAGCTGAAATATACACACACACACACACACACACACACACACACACACACACACACACACACACACACACACACACACACACACACACACACACACACACACACACACACACACACACACACACACACACACACACACACACACACACACACACACACACCACACACACACACACACACACACACACACACACACACACACACACACACACACACACCTTTTAACTGACAGGTGGGCAGCCCTTGAGGCAAAATTCTTCCAGACTCACCTGTACAATTGTTTCCTGTGCTCTTCCTGTGTGAGGAGCCTGTGTTGTTTGAATACAATGGGGTCAGGGAAATCACAGCACATGTCGAACAGACACTCCATCATTGTGACAGAGAGTGGAGTGACAACAAACGCCACAGACGCTCACTACACTGTTAACCCCATTTTTGTGTTTACTCACTGCTTTTATGCCTTGAAATTACACCGAAGAAAATGTATGGACCTCGTAAAGGTCGTATGTTGATCTTTTAGACTTTAGTTTGTATGTCTTTGGCACTTCCCTTGTGTACTAATGTAGTAGCAGATTAGTGAAACAAAACATCCCCTCCAAACCCTTTTGTTGTTTCGATTTAAGAAAACAAAGGTGTTTACTGTAGTGAGGTCATCAGGTGCACACTTTTGTCAAACTTGAAATGTTAAGAGGCATAAATGTCAGGAGAAATATGAGATATACAGTACATCTGAAATGAAAAAAAATGTCCCTGCAATACTGGGGGTTTATACCTGACCAAACCATAGACACACATACAAAGATTGGTGCAATTAAAAAT